TATCTATCTATCTATCTATCTATCTATCTATCTATCTATCTATCTATCTATCTATCTATCTATCTATCTATCTATCTATCATCTATTACCTACCTACCTACCTACCTACCTACCTACCTACCTACCTACCTACCTACCATCTTCCATTCTTAGTTTTACAGGCAGTAAAGGAGAGAGGGTGGGGAAGAATTGTACTTTCAGACTTGCAAGTGTCTGTCAATCTAGAGTTAAAATAAAATAGATCATCTGGTTTTGATTCTATCTGGCTTACCCTGCAAGGCTGTCACTGATCTTGCATACTTCTTATAGATGACCTACAAGACATTGATCCAGAATGTAGTTGCGGAGAAAGTGATGAGCATGGCTCAGTGGGGCAATATGATTTCATTGCTAAACTGACTACTAGTTGGTCTCAGGTGCCTTTCAAGGTGCTGGTTATATGGATGGCCTTGACAGAGATTGCAAGATTACATAATGTAAAATTTTTTTTTTAAGGCCTGAACATCCAGATGACATGTAAAGGTGGTTCAAATGGACACCTCTCTGATTTACTCAATGGCAAGAAGGAAGAAGGGGTATAAAACAATCTGATTTCTTCTTGTGTTACTATAATCAATCTCCGTCAATGTAATTTTAGTCTTTCTGTGTTGATTTTTTGTTCTAGTCTACCTTATGGGACCAGAGATAAACTTTACAGTTTATCACCTGTAAAACTGTTCATGATATATGACCCAGTTATTTGATGGACTGCTTGTGTCCAGTTGTTTCTATGTATCCAGTGAGATCAGGCAGAGTATTTGGGCCCTATCACTTAAGCAATGTCTTCTAGAAGAACCTAGGACCCTGATGGCGAACCTATGGTACGTGTGCCACAGGTGACATGTGTAGCCATATCTGCGGGCACATGAGGTGTTGCCCTAGCTCGATCCAGCACTCATGTGCGCGTTGGCCAGCTGATTTTCAGCTGGCTCACTCATGCTGCCCTTCCCTTCCCAGGAGCCCCCATGTGATGTCAGGTAAGTACAGGGCCTGCATGGAGGCTCTGGAAGGTATTTCCAGCCTTCAGAGGGCCTCCAGGGAGGCAGGGGGGCCATTTTCACCCTCCCCAGGCTCCAGAGGCTTTCTCTGGTGGGCCTACCGAGGCCATTAGAAGTCAGGAAACGCATCATTTCCAGCCTCTGGAGGGCCTCTGGGGTGGGGTGGGGTGGCAGAGGAGGGTGTTTTTGCCCTCCCCAGGCTCATAGAAAGCCTCTGGAGCTTGGGGAGGGCAAAAAATGAATCTACCGGAAGTCAGAAAATGAACTGTTTCTGACCTCCAGAGGCTTCAATGAGGCCTGCTAGGCCCAAACCGTGGCATGTGGGGGGGGAGGGCCAGGTGTGGTGCATGCATGGGGAAGCGTGGGGTGGGTCACGCATGCATGTGCAAGGGGCAGGACGCAGGGGGTTGGATTATGGGCGTGGGCACACTCGTGTGTTTTACCTGAGGGAAAAAAGGTTCACCATCACTTACCTAGGAGAATATGTTCTCTGGCATGATATCTGCCCTCAATACACAAATAGAATATCATTCTGAACATCTGATTTAATATATTTAAACGGCACTTTTTAAATGTTACAATGTGTAACATTTGCAAAGAATATATCATATGCATTATTCAGTAAAGAATGCATCCCAAATGTTCATTCTATGAGATACAAATTTTGCTTATAGTCAATCATATGTGGTGTAGGGTTTCCTGCCTAGGCAGGGATTTGGACTAGAAGACCTCTATGGTCCATTCCAACTCTGTTATTCTGTATTCTATATACATTTTTTAATAAAAATATTTTCCCCTCGTGTAAATGAAATCTTCATTCTTTCTCTTTAGAGGAAGAGCCATTGCCATATTCCAGGTATGTTGTACCTGTTCTTCTCATGATTGGCTGGATTGCAGGTTGTGCATTAATGGTTTATTATGTCTTCTCTTAAAAAAAGGTTAGTGGTGATAACATTACATGTAGAATAGTAAATATTATGAACTGCCCCTTTCATTACTAGAATTTATTAACTACCTTTTTTTGTTACACAGGAAAGAAGACTTTGCAAACCAACCTGAAGGCTAATGAAGACTGTCTGTTTCTTCGTTTAAGAAAATACTATTTTGATACCAATGAAAACATAATACAATTTATACATTTTGTCTTCCAGATCTTTAATAGAAAACAAATAAATCAGTTTTGTACATATATGTAACTTTCAATGAAAATTGCATTAGACATTTGGTAATACAACTATACTGGTCCATATCCTGGTACTATTTTATATTGCGATATTGATAGAAAGAAGCATTGTTATTTGTCCTATGCTGAGAGGCAATGTAGAAATTCATATATTTTGTTGCTTGCAGTTAGAAAACAGTTAATTAAATTGCTTCATAGCTGTCGTTGTTGCCTTGTGTTTCCCCTACATTATATAGTTCTATAATAATATTTTAATATGATTTGGGGATTTTTAATTTTGTTTCATAAGAAGCATATTTTTTTTAAAAATGGTAATGACTTTCATGAAATGAAAGATAAAAAATTGAGGTTATATTTCATTAGTCTCAATTATTTTTAAGAATAATCATAAATGTTTCGCAAATTGGGCTAATCCTTATAGCTGTTTATTCCAATGGCTCTTCTACTTTATTTCTAAGACTGTTACTAGAAAACCTTAAAAATTATCACACATGTAAATCTAAATGCATACATAGACTTATAACAAGGGTGTATATATATAGCTCTAACTTTATTATAAAATTATGATAAAAGAATCTTATAAAGTCTGAAAGTATATCTCATCCCTCATCGACTTTACAGCCCAATAAACTAGATAGGACCTCTTCTGAGTTGTTTACCATGCCCTCATTCTTTCTGTGGACTCAGCTGCAACTTGTCTGACCATTATGTATTCTGCAGCTTTATGGCCAGTCTCCCAAGGTCATTAGTTACAGATAGACTATAATGCCCTATCTAAAATGTAGGATTATATTTGAAAGTGTGACTCATCCTACAACCTAGATTGTATCATTCAAAAATATATACCAGGGAATTCAGACTTATCTATGACCTGCCCATCAGAACATATGTTATCTTAGGTTTGCTGTTTGGAATGGAATAAATGAGCAGATGTCACCGTAAACTTTAAACCTTCTATTGGCAGCCCTTGAGCTGGTGAGGATTTAAGCAGGGAGTCAGTTGCCTCTTGTGAATAGTTGTGAATACTGTCTTGATTGATTGATTGATTTATTACATTTATATGACTTGACTTGACTTGCGTAAGTATTGAGTTAAGGATCCCCCCCCCCCGAATTATTTCAATGGTATAGTGCTATAGAGTTTCTTGGAGCAGTGTCACAGATGAAACAATCCCTGGCAAATGTATCAGATTTCTCCCGGTTAGACGTTTACTGCCATTTTTCTATATATAGTAAAATTTCTTGATTTGAATATGATTAAGGTGTAACCTGACATACTCTTATTTGAAAAAAATAGGTCCAATGAAATTGAGCAAAACTGACTCTGTTTTTGCTTGACACCAGTAGCATAACAGTAGTACTTCTCTTCCTTCAGATTACACAAATACCCTGTGTGATGCTCCATACAGCATATAGTAACATTGCATCTTAAAGTGACAGCAGACTGCATGCTGTTGAATTTTTCCAACATCCTTAGAGTTTTATTGTCATCTCATTTTTGTTTCTTATTTTTTATTTTTAGATTTAGAACTAGGATGTAATTTGAAACAAGGATTCGGAAGAATATTCAAATACTGGTTAACATTATTTTTGGTAGATACTTTAAATATAAATACAGTATTTTAACCTGAGATCCTGTGAATGGAACCTGAATTTTATCTACAGGCCAGCCACATAGTGTATGAGTAATAGCAACTTCATGCACAACAAACTTGCTTATGTTAAGGAGGAATTGCAATTTACTATTGTCCAATTAATAGGCTATCAATAGTTTTAATAAATGTTGAAGCCATTCTCCAGTTCAATTTAGGATAATCACTGTTTCTTTTCCAAAATCTATGTTGCAGTTTTGTGGGATTATTTACTCTAAGAGTGAAATACATAGAGAGACTTGCATATAATGAGAAGTAAATAGTAAATATTCGTACCCTCTCCACCGTCCAAGCCTTCCGCATAGCCTTGAAGAACTGGCTCGCCCGTCAGGCCTGGGGATAAGGATAGTTACCCCTCCCGAATGATGAATGTATGTTGCCTACCATTTTATTATATGTTCTATGTCAATGTCTGTATTCCCTCTTCCCAGTTTTATGTGAGCCGCCCTGAGTCCCCTCAGGGAAAAGGGCGGCCTACAAATTCTAATAAAACTCTAATAAAAAACTCTAAAACTCTTCTCAAATTTTGTCCCTTTTTTTAATGTTGCATGAAACCTGAGCACTAGTATCTAATAATATATGCTGTTGCAGTCTAATATAACTGCAAATTTGCCACTGGATGGGGCTACTGCCTGTTTCTGACCTAACTTTTAATAATAGTACACTTCGTTTACAGCCAGTAGGTGGCATAGCCTCTACACATACATTGATTGTTTTCACAGCAGCAATTATGTAGTGTGATGAAATGTCTCATTTCTATATATTTACATTTAGGGAGAATGTGATTAAAATCATGGAAGACGAAACAGAAATGAGAATAGCAGCACAACAACTTATGATCATAACACAGTTTGTGTTTCCTGTCACTATTCAACATCTACACATCTCCCTAAGCCATCTGAAGCCAAGTCACTTGCTCTTAACCAACCTATTTCAGAGTTGTTAAAATTAGAGACTGCAGGGCATATGGTAGAATAACAACATTGATGGGAAAGTGTTTTTCTATAAATATTGGCACACTTTGCAATATTGCATTCTAAAAAAAATATAGAGTTGTTACTTGGACACTGCATTTTATTTAGAACTGCTAGGAAGGGAAACGTTTGCTCATGGTTTCTGTTTTCTTAGTCATTCACAGAAGCACGTTGTACAGTCATTTGCTCACACTTTGGTCCTTGGAAATGCCTGTGCTGGAACAAGAGGGAGGGTAAGGGGTTTGATAACTGAGGCTACACTTAGTAAAGATTTCTACTTCCTCAGCTGTTCATCATCCCTTGTTTGTTGGCTACAGAATTCAAATGCTCCTATTGAAATCACCTACTTAGGTGTTTGAAGGATGGGCTCTTGACTTCTGCATTTCGTTCTTCACTGGCTTTCAGAACCGCCAAGAAGAAAGAGGATTGGTGACCTTTGTTAGTGCGTGGCTGCTAGTAGCCAGAGGGCGATAATAATGACATTTCAGGTTTTCACATCTGATGGCTGCCAATTGCAATTTCAGCAAAACTTTTATTATTCTGCCCACTAACCTGATTGTTGAGCAATTTCTTCCCAATCAGCCCTTGTTAACGTCTCAGAATAACCCACACAAGACATGACAAGAAAAGAAGCTAGCAATGGTTATTTGCCTGATCTCAAAGTGTGGTATCACTTATGATCCTGTATATTTTAGGATTAGCTTTCAGCCTTTGCCTGCTGGTTTTATTCTTTTTTTCCCCAAGCCCTCTCCGGCTGCTTCATTCCCAGCTCCCAAGGAATTGAAATTTGTTGCAACACAATTGTGCAGCAACCTGATTTAAGTAATGATAGGATTGCAGTAGATAATTTAGTTTTAACAGAAACTGAGCTCACCGTATTTCAATCTGCTAGTTATTCATGTAATTTATCATATACATGTAACTAGTTATTATATTTTATTTATGTTATTATAGGTTTTTTGTTGTGTATTATTATAGTTATTTATGGCATAACAGCTTTACTATCTTATTATAGTTATTTATGTTATTATACACACTTAACTATAAATACATCTAATGACTACAAGCAGATCATATATAGGAGAATTATGCAGGAATATGCCTGCAAAGCAGGGGCAGGAAACTTGTGCCTCCAGTGTTCTTCAATTACAAGGCCGAGATTCCCTTACATAGCCCATATTTATGAGATGGAAAAAAAGATTATGGATGTGTACTTCTATTACTGTATGGTGATCCCTTTTACCACCTTCCTATCTTCCCTCGCTTTAATTAAATGTGGTATGTGACAGAGAAACAAGTATGTTGTTTTAGAACAAGCCGGCCCAAAAACACCACAAGAATTTCTTAAGTTTTAAAACATTCTGAAAATGAAGTAGATAAACAGAAGGCTCCCTCCGCCTTTTTTTTTTTTTTTGCAAAGGTAAAAAGGCTTTGGCTCTCTGAAGAACCATATTCCAGACTGATGAGGGTATTTTAAACTAGCTCCTAACAACATCCTCATCCATTTCCTTTGGAACTTTCTCTATTATTCAGAGCTTTTCTTGCACCACCGAACTGCTGACGTAAATCATTGCATGAATCCATTTTTTATAAAACAAATTTCTCTGGTTTTTCTTGTTCCTTGTTACATAATTCCTTCTTACATAAAATTTCCCAGAAGAATCTCTGTGTTTTTGCGTAACTATATCGTCTTTGCAAGAATCCTTTTTCAGAAGGATCTCTCTCAAAACATGGGGCTGCCCTATTCTGAACAGTGCTGTTGTCTGTGCTGTAATGGAATCTGGTACGGTAGAGAGGACCACTCCATTCACAGAATACTTCCTAGCAAGTTTTTTTTTAAAAAAAATATGACTATGAACTATTTCCTCATGTTATTTGTAGTTTATTCTTGCATTAAAAAACAACAACACAAATCCTAAAGAAAAATAGTAAAATATACTCTTTAATTTGCATGAATATTTTTATTTTATTTGGCCATTTATTGTTATTTATTTAATTAACTTGTACAGCTGCCCATCTCAAATATTTAACTATGGAAATGCACAATGATTGAAAGCAAAAAATATTATAACTTGACCAACAAACCAATGTTAATAAGTACATGGCAGCCAGGATTAAAAAATCAACAACCAAGACAACAATTACCGGTAACCATGATATGGACTCAACCATACACTTGGAGCCTAAGGTTAAATAACAAAACCAGATCTTCAAGGTTTTATAAAAGGACAGCTGTCTAATTTCTGGAAATAATGTTCCAGAGAACAAGTGCCATGACAGAAAAGGCTGTCTTCCTGGGCCCAGGACACTATGTAAATCAACCAACCAACCAATCAATTCAATTAATCCTCTTCATGAGGAAATGATCAACCATCCTAGATGTAACCTACCACTAGGCATTTATTTGCAGGTCATACACTATGTGTTTACGATTATTCCAATACTGTTGAGTAATATATTCTCTCTCTCTCTCTCTCTCTCTCTCTCTCTCTCTCTCTCTCTCTCTCTCTCTTGCAATGAACATGTGGCTGAACTTTAAATGCACAAAGAGAGATCAGAATCTTAAAATCATTCCTAA